AAGAATGCACAAATGTGTATATTCGTTAATGTCAGATATGTACTAAGTAAATGCATTTGTTCCTGCTCCAGATTAGATTCAACTTTATTGTTATTGCACATATTACAGGTACTGAGACAACGAAATGCAGTTTAGCTTCTAACCAGGTGCAACAAGCAGTAAAGTGAAAAGTAATGTACACAACCTACAGAATAAAAATGAATTGAATGATGAATAAACAGTGAGGGCTATGAATACACTAGATATCAGCCTGTGAGCAGCATGAACAGTGTGTATGAATATGCTAAGATAAATAAAGTATGAAAACGGTAAGCAGTATAGTATAACATATATAGATATTAATTTCATGATGATAAACATTGTGGAACAATGATGAAAAATGGGAATGGATGTGGCGACGTAAAACTGACACAAAACAACAACAAACTTTTGCCAGCCAATTGGAGAGTTTCATCAGCAGCACGTGGTAAAAACCACCAATGAGCGCTCAGCTCGAGATACCAGCGAGACGTTTCCCATCAAGCATTTCGCTTCTGCAGCCCGTGGAGAGCAACTGCGCCAACTCGCCTCGCCTCGCTCTCAAGGCTGCGGGCGTCTTTGTCCCGCGAAATTTCAAAGTCTCATGTGGGCGGGCCTCCAGAGCAAGTCGGACAAAATGACTAACCATCATGCAACGCATTAGCAAGACGTTGATCGCAACTGCGCAGGTCTGCGCAGGTCTTGCTTGTCTCAAACAAGCCTACTTTCTGTTGGCTGGGCAGTGTAGTTTTACACACCGTCTTATTTTACTTTCTCAGGACTTAAAACTGTTTTTTGGGGGCAGACCCCCTCAAAGAAAAAAATATATACACGCATACAAGGTCATCATCTTAACAGTTTGTTATTCTCATCGAGTCATCCGTGAGCAGAGCATCAAGTTGGCATGTCTATTGTCTATTGTCTAATGCGGCGATTACTATTTTGTTCAGCAAAACGCCTCACAAACGTATTAAGATCAACAGCTGTAGTGCGTTTTGATTCAATGCTGAGTACAGCCAAACTGACAGTCTCTTCTCTGTCATTGTAGACCGCAACTACCTCATTCCTTCAGTGCTTGGGTCCGAAAGGCTTCTCGTTTTGCGCGGTCCCCCCGTTCAAGTGAATTCGCCACCAATCATATTTCCACTCTCGCGCCAGGACCGGGGGAGGGGTTACATGACGTGCATCTTGTGCTGCATTCACTTGCACTTGGACATTAGAGACTTTCTCTCATAAATGTCCGATGAGCCACAACTTTTCTTTCAAAACAAAGATGCCAACTGGAGTGGCAGCTGGGGTGGCAAGGCTATTGTTTAGGGTGGCAGTTGCCACCCCATGCCACCCCGGTAGATCCGCCCCTGATTAGCAGGTAATCACCGGACTATGACCGGATATGCTGATGTTTAAAACTCAGTTAATAGGAGTCATTTTTATATCGCTTCAGTTTATAATCGTTACAGATCGAAAAGTTCAGATTCATTTTTCAATAAATGATTCCACAAACAACAAACAACATAATTATTACATTCAAACAAACTACTTGTAGTAGATGAAGTACATTATTCAAAAGTTTACATTAACTTTGGATAATAACACGGGAGAAACGGATCATCTCTTTTCCTCTCTCCCTCCCTCTCTCTCCTGACAGCCCGTCAGTTTCTCATGCAGCTCGCTAAACAGTGGGCGGGGCTTCAGGTGATTATGCAGCAGCTGATCTGATCTCTCTCTCAGGTCCGGTTATACTTCCCTCGCGTTTATGTCCATATCGATCAGATCCAGCTCTCCTGATCGGCCTTTATAGAGAGCACCGAACAAACTATTAAGAGTGAATATCAGCCGATAATGACTGGCGGCCGATCGATTGGAGCATCCCTAATTATTACCAGACATTTTGACCAGCAGGTTTTTAATTTACCGGTTTTTAATGAATTTTACCAGATAAAAACCGGTAATTACCGGCTAACAGAAACCCTGATGTGCGACTCTCCGTCCTATGTTGTAAAAAAAATAAAATAAAATCTCAAAATAATATTTTATTTTTGATTCTCAAAATTACGGGCCAAATAGTATTGCTGGCGGGCCAACAATGGCCCGCGGGCAACCTGTTGCCGACCCATGCCCTAAGGTCTCGAGCTCCAACAGGTGGTGGGTTTGGAGCTTTATATATACAGTCTATGGTTTGGAAGCAGAGGAACGTGACGCAGCACAGCAATCTTCCCATTGGTTAATACCATACCATCAGCAGGAGGCATTGGGATATATGAAACCAGTCTGGGACGCTTCCTCTTCTGAGTTTCTACCATGTACGGTGCAGCCTTAGCACGTTGAGACAGCTCACGTGTTGTGTTTTTATCTTTGTTCCCTTTGCCTAACACAGTGTCAGCAGCATCCATTGGGACATCTTGCAGCAACAGGTTGGGATGCTTTGCAGCTGGGTCAACCTCCATTGGAGAAAACCCAGTTTTTAGTTTTGACCTTTGTTCATTTTATATTTATATATGTATAGGTTTATATATCCTTGTCTATTATATTCAAGCAGAAATCTTAGCTTTTATTATTTATTTACCACTTTATTACTTACCATAGCAAAAGTATATCTGTAATGGATTTTTTTGTAAGACTAGGTCACATTATTTCATTACTACAGTATCTGTATATTATATATATATATATATATATATATATATATATATAAATATTGGCTTGAGTTTATCCATGTCCTATCCTCAGAAACTGCCGCCCATGTTATGAATATATATGTATATTGGCAGGACAAATCAGATAATGTTCTGCCCCCCTCTGCAGTGTACATATGCTATTCATTTTTGGATTAGGTTTTGTAAATTGGGAGAATTTTTACAATACCATTTTTGGTCAAGTACATCTAACAACTGGGAGTGATCGTGTTGAGTCGCAGTGTCGATGTGGACCAGCCTGCCGGTCACATGGTAAAATCAACCAGGCTGATAAGAAAGAGGCCTGGTAACCATTCCCCTCTTAACCACAAGAGGTGCAAAGCTGATGGATCCAGTAGTATTACAGATTAGCTGCAGACAAACAAATACACACGACACATCATCTTAGCTTTTGCCTGTCGAGTAATCATTATACATGTTGTGTACACAGCAAATACTTAAAAAGAATCACTTTCAACTGAATCTTGAGATTTTATTCATTTCATAGAAGTGAGTTAACCGAGTCGTTTAAATTATCATCGAACATAAATCATGTACACTGTCTAAGATAAAAACTATAATATCTACTGGATTTGTTTTCTTGTATTGCTTAAGATATAGTCCGGTCTCTTCAAAAGTAATGTGAACTCTTTTTTATATCTTATTATTTTTTTTTTTTGTATAATATGATTTCATACACCTTAGTATTGAAATAAGACAACGACAATGATCTCTCATTAAACTCATTCTTACTACAATTATCAAAGTAGATTATGATATTTAGGTTTTGGACAGAACATAGCTCCAGGTATACGTCATGTTAGGCAGTTTGCCTCATATAATTTCATTCTGACATTTCCAACTTTTGATGACCATTAGTAGTCGCAGAAGCATTTCTCACAACATGATACAATTGTTGTTACACAAGTGGTTCAAAGTTGTTGGTTTGATTCTCTCACCACAAACTATTTGTGTCTTGTTTAGCCCTGCCTGAGGGAAAAGCAAACACAAGCAATAAAAGGTGATATGACCGGGGTGAAAAGTTTAACCGTTCTCAGAGGCTTGATAAATGCAATCAGTTATTGTACTCCCAATTGAGTTATGGTATCGATAATGAAGCTGCGTTATCGTTCTTATAATTGACAATTATTTGGAAAATGGCCAGCTTCACAGAAAGAAAAGGATAGGAACCGTTTATGTAATTGTAGGTGCATTTTCACAGAATAATATCACCTTCACAAGAAACAGGCATAACATAAAGTCACTTTATTAAAGGACATGTGTAATACAGTTACCTGCGGAGTTATATTGGTTTCAAAAAATAAAAGGTGAATAAAAAGACACCTATATGTGCAGAGATAGAAGAACTCAGATATTGTACTTCAGTAAGAGTAGGAACACTGTTCCTACTTTTTAAGTAAGTAGTAAGAGTTACAGAAGTATTGGCATCAAAATATACTTAAAGTATCAAAAGTCAAAGTACTCATTGCGCAGAGCGGCCCATTTCAGAATTATATATGATTTGTTTTGATTATAATTTTTGATGCATTGATATGTTTATAAAAGCTGGTAAAGGTGGAACCATTCGTATTATTTGGATTTACTGCTCGGTAGTTTTTTAATTTAGTACAGGTGTAACTAAAGTCTTATTTAAGTGTTGATTATATTTTACATCATTAATTCATATCTGCAAAGTAACTAAAGGTATTAAGTAAATGTGGTGGAGTACAAGTACAATATTTATTGCTGAATTGTAGTGGGGTAGAAGAACAAAGTAGCAGAAAACGGAGATACTCATGTAAAGTGCAAATACCTCAAAATGGTACTTAAGTACAGTACTTGAGTAAATGTACTTAGTTACTTTTACAGCACTGCATATGTGCAGTCTTTCATATTCTTACTATAAATTACAATTATTATACAACACCTACAAACAGTCCCTCAGCCGATGTTTCCACTTTGATCCTATTCCACAAGCTCCCCCAGCTGACCTGCCAATAACTCCGATTTACGAGGCCAAATTAAGATAAGGAAGGTTTTCAGATAGTCAAACATATAAGTTTATGAGCAGTGCTGTATCTTATCTCTGACAAGGAAGTGTGGTGTCATGCGAAAATCTCTCCTGCAGAATAACACAGCAGTTCAATACCAAGAAGCACGTTGCAGTGCTGAGTACCCTCACACTTTGATTTCAATACAACAGTTCAAATGGGTTATTATAATTATTTATTATAAAGAAGTCAACTGTTTTCAGTATTCAGCCAGAATATAATTTTTTTTATTCAACTTTACAAGTAAATAAACAAATAAAGTTCAACAAGTTTATTTCATGTTGTCAACACAGTATATACAACACACATGACAATTAAAGCTCATCAATAAACAGTTATTATATTTTACAGATTACAGTAGAGTTCGGGTTATATCTCCAGCAAATGATGTATCAAAGCTCATTATGATCTTTGTACCACGTCATTTAAAAACACTTTAACACAATAGCGTCATCAAGTAAGAGTACTGCTATCTGTTGGTCCCCAGCGGGTCAAAATACAGAGTCCTGTGACCTGGGGAATGTGTGTTGGTCAGCAAGGGGGCTGTTGGAGCTGCTCTGGGGAACAGCGCTGACTGAAGAGGTTCAGGGAGGCAGCACGGCAGCCAGAACAGCGAGGACTTCTGTAGCGCCTGGGAACCAACACAATCACTAATCACTATTCTAGTCAATGCAATTATATTGTTCTGTATGTAAAAAAGATTGACATATATATCTAATAAAGTTTTCATACCAGAGATGCAACACATTTAAACAAGGGCATATTAACGGTAAGGTTAGACAAATGTTAATGTGAAAGTTAAAAAATAATATAATAAGACAATTGCTAAAGAAAATTACAAGAGCTACTTTAATTATAAGCCAAATTAAATACATTTTAGGATTTCATTAAATTGTAATATTCACAGGAGCTCGTGGTAAGATATGGGTTTTAATTTAATTTTAATTTTAAATATGACAATTTCATTTTCCATCATATTACTTTTGAAACTTTGCTATTTGATCTCTTTCACCTTTTTAAATGCATTTCATTATTTTAAAAAAGGTTTAAAAATGTTCCGACGCTGTTTCTCTCTTTCTTTGTAAATAACGTAAGCTTCATTTTGAGTTTGAAGCACTCATTATGGGAATATTATTGAGATGAATATATGAAATGTGATTTTACCTCAAAATAAAGCAGGGGATGACTTGCAGGCCGGCTGCTCATCAGTTCTATGTCCTTCAGAGTTTCTGCTTTCCTCCGTTTGGCTCTGCGGTTCTGGAACCAAATCTGCAGCACAAACAACATGTCACATAAATGTATCTATGACATACTCACAATTTAGCCATAAATATGTAGCAGAGTACCAAAAGTAACAAATGTATTATTATTCTCCTCTGAGCATGCATTCTCATTGAATCATAGTACACAGAAAAACGGAAAGGTTAACTTTAATTAAATGTATTATACATAACTGTATTAGGTTTGTTGAAAGCAATAATATTAAGTTCAAATAGAAAATAGTATTGCTTTCATATATCCTTATACAGTTATGTGAAGTCTGTTGACATAATACATGTCATTAAAGTCAACGTTTCAGTTTTTTGAGTGTGCACACTTCTACACCGAAATTGTCAATAATAGTTTGGGAGGTATTTCTTCATATAAGCAACTGTCCAAAGACCATTGCCATGGTTCCATTATTAACTATTCATTATAATAAGCCCATTGTTTAAACGTGACCCCAGTTTGACTTATTGACTCCTTCCAGCAATACACGAGTTACAAAATAAAGACGATGTGTTGTCATAGTTTGCTTATTTGATACTAGTTTGACAAGGAGAACTAGATTGAAGCTATTTAAATGTTATCAGAACAATCAATATTAAATATTGTCTAATTTTAATATACAGATGTTTTAACATGAATACAAAACCGTCCTTAAACATATTTGTTGATTAGTAAACTAGTACTTGTCAAGTTTAATTTGTCTGTAGCCTGTTTGTAGTTCAAATACATTTATACATGCAAAGTGATACAAGTTGTTGATTCTTTTGGCTATTATTTGTTTATTCCATGACCTTTTTTTGTATAAAGTAGTTTATATTACTTTTTACAAGTAGCTTAAGGTAAACACACTTAATTTCTTCGCTGTAGTTTTAACTTTTGCCAGGTTGAAATAATTACTTCCAAAGCAGCTTCCCAATACTGTCAGTATATTGTCTTTAATGCTGCCATGATAGTGGAGCAGATAACAAGGTCAATCGTTCAAATGATGATACAAGCATGAAACTTGGCAGGAATATTTATTTTATGTCACTTTATGAGAAAAAAGTGCTAGCCACTTGAAATTCCAAGATGGCGGCCATTTTCCAAGATGGCCGCCAGATGACCACCCCATAGGTGACATTTCCTGATAACTTTGGATAGATCTGTCCAATTCAGTAGGTCATGGTGGCGATTTATATGTTTTCAACACTGGCGAAACCGATTATGATATCAAAACACATGTATGATGTGGTATTAACCCCTTACCTGCCATATGTGGCTTTAGGTGCAAAAGTATTACTTTAATATACGAGTTTAGATTCACCCAAATTGTCTTTTTCTGTTTTGTTCAGCACTTCCAGTTATTGATGCTGAATTATCACTTTAAATTTGCCGTTATTATTTTTTTTAATTCTAGTATTTCCTAAAGGCAATTTGATAGGCAAGGGGTATCATGCCATCAACAAAATCTGCACTTCGTTCGTAATGCGCCTGGGGTGAATATAACACGAACCGGTCCCAGTTCTATTGCAATGTTTTTCTGCCCTGCAATGTTCATTGTTTCTGACTAGCTAGGTCTGACAAAAACAACTGCATAGTGGAGTACAACTTAGTCCGAAACGGAAGCATTTGCACCTTCCACTACATTGTGTCTTGCATCCACATTTCAAGCACACAGTGCTTCGTTAATAGTTCTAACGCTCGAAGTGGAGTCGAAAGAGATGAGTTTTCAGTTTGCGCCGGAAGATGTGCAAGCTATTTGCCGTCCTGATGTCAATGGGGAGCTCATTCCACCATCTTGGAGCCAGGACAGCAAACCCACGTGTTTTTGCCGATGGGAACTTGGGTCCCCCTCGCAGCGAGGGCGCAGCGAGTCGTTTGGCTGATGCAGAGCGTAGTGCACGCGCTGGGGTGTCATTTTTGAATGCTATCAGGACATCGCGTCCTTTCTGATGCGCTTCAAGCTCTGGAATACGCAAGAGTAACTGTTCCTTTAACCTTGTTGAGTTCACGTCCGGAGAGTCCACACCGAGTTGCTCTAATCTCTGCTTGTACAGTGTAGCTAAATCTGCCAGCCTGAATATAACTGGATCTGTTCCCTCGGTGGCAGCTCTGGTGTCAGTGATGTAGATGATAAGTTCTGAAAAAGCAATGGGGTATAACTCTTTACCTGGCTTTTTGCAGCTCTGCTCTTGCATAATCAAATTATGATGGGCTCGTTCTCGATTGTATACAGCTACAAGGCAAGCAGGATGATATTTCAACTCCAGCGCAACAGCATCGCCGGCACTGAGCTTTGCGAGGAGCTTTCCATCATTCAGAGTCCTGGCACACTCATTGAGTCTTTCATTCAATTGCATTGTCATTGCTTGTCGTAAAGTTGATGTTTCGGCCTCTTCTTCACACAAAAAGCATACTGATGACGCTTTTGGTGGATCTGATGTTCTTTGCCTCTTACTGCGGTTCTCTTCTCTGCACGTAGAAGTACTTGCAGTCGCTCTCTTCTGTGTCCTTTGTAGCTTTGTGTTATTGAACAACAATCTACAGCTTTGGTGATATTTTGCTCTGTTTCGCATCAGTGTTTCTTTTATACCACCACCTTCATCTAGTCTGGCTGGGTTAAGTGGAATCGGCATATCATTGATGGCATGAAACAATGGCACATTGTTTGCAATGTTGGTATAACCAGCATAGTCCTGTTCCCTTTGGAATGAACTTAGTGGTGACATTAACTTTTCCTCTGTATCATTCTGACAGAGGCAACATTTCGTCCAGTTTGTTTGTGGTTTTGATTTTGCTTGAGTATCCATAATTTGTGACTAAGAATGGCAAGGTCGAGGGTTCATCCTTTTACCACCTTGCGTTAGTGCAAATTGATGTATGGGATACAGCTAGGTTCATGCACTTGCCCTACACCTAGCCCGATCGTTCATCCAATGTCATTTAAATCCCGTGCGATCTGTACACCATCCGGATAACTACATGTAAAACCCCCGTTATCCTTGGCTCGGCTCTCCCGCGCTGGCACATCCTGTCGGTTCAGGTGCGGCTATCTAACATCTGAGGGGTTCATTAGATAGCATTTGGGATACTAAACCCACGGTTTAGCTGACATTGAACCCCATGCTGAGTTGCACAGCAGTGTATGCCACCAGTGTGCCCTGGTATTGCATGACATACACTCTCTTTTTCTGTGTTTAGTTGATATTGGCTGGTGTCCACCATCATCGCTGGTTACACTGTGATGTCTGGGTCCTATATATCCTTGTGGCTGCATTTCGGTCGCAAGTGGTTTTATTTCAGAGTTTTCCATCTCCTAGATGAATTGCCTTTACCTGGCTAATGAGCTTCATCTGCCCAGAGCTGTCTGGTTTTCAGGCGCCAGAGACTCGCCTTTCGCACCACCACTATTTGTGGAAACACCCCCGCCACGAGAAGGCTAGGGTTGGAGCTTGACTGCCAGAGGCTTTGTTTCGCTTGCCATTTGGGGCATTTAGTAGGCAAAGAGAGCTCATCCTCTTTGCCACCCCGGCATTAGCAGTCCTTTGGAGGGGCAATTCTAACCTTCCCCGTCTATAACGAGAACCAATTTACTTGTATTCGAAGCCTGCACAATAGTTGTCATTTGACTTCTTTATTGTTACACAAGTCCTAAAATTGATTTATTGGTTCAAGAAATCGATCAATACACTCAGGAATCAGCTTTAGCAAGGTCAAAAACCTATAAATCGACACCAAGATGAAATAAATCCGACATCTCTGGCGATTTCTATGGTTAAAAGTTGTTTTTTTTCATACCCTGGCGGCCATCTTGGAAAAAATGGCCACCATGTTGAAAATCCACGTGGCTAGCACTTTTTTCTTGCAGAGTGATCCTAAAGGAACGTTCCTACCAAATTTCATGCTTGTATCACCATTTGAACGATTCTGCCAAAAAAAATCACACTTATCTGCTCCACTATGATAATTCTTGGTAAAATATACAAACAAACCCTTCACTAATCGCATTACAAATGTTGCACTCATGCTAAGTTTTCAAGACAAGTAATGCAACAAAAATCAAACAAAAACACACATAAATAACCGCGATGAGCGTTGTGTGTCCTACCTGTATTCGTCCCTCTGGGAGTTGCAGGCGAGAGGCTAACTGCTCTCTTCTGTTCACGTCTGGGTAGTGAGTCTGCTGGAAGGCTTTCTCCAGCTCCTGCACCTGGACTGGGGTGAAAGTGACCCGCGTTTGCCTCTTTTTCCTCTGACCTGTAAACACATTATTGTTACTGACATCTTCCTCGCCAGCATCATTTTAACACTAAACATATGGCTTCAAAAATCACAATACTCACTCATGCTGTCCGTGGAGGCTTTTGGAGACTCTTCAAGTAGTCTGATTTGTGTTGTTTCTAATAGCAGAGAGAAAAACATTATATTTAATATCAACAATGATGTCCTTTTGGATAAGAAAAAGAGTGATACACAACATACCTGCACATGAGATCTGCTTAGATATCCTGTTGTTCACCTTGATAACAGACCAGTTCCGATGTGCTTTCTTCTCCTTTCTGGCACATGTGGGCCCCCATAGAATTTCCTCAATAGAATGGGATAGTTTTTTGCGTGGCTGAGATTCCATTTGTTGATCCATGCAGGACTCTTTCTCTGTATTTCCTCTATTCCACATTTCCAGTAGCTTAACCCCCTCCATTGGTCCCTTCGTCATCAGATGTTTGTAGTACTGACTTTATTCACCGGTACTCAGGAGCCTTAAAATATCACAAACCTCTTCTGCTTCTTCTCCTGTCTGGTATGGTTGTTGCACTGTGCAAGGTGAGGACAGTGAGTTCGCCCTCCCTCCCTCCCCTGTCAGCCTGTTTGACCTGCATCACATGGTTTTTTATCAGGGAGGAGCGACTGGCGATATGTCATACTTCTAGGAAAAGTATTTCCCTTAAGCGTCCCATTTTACCCTAAGGTGTGCTCATTGTGAATGTACAAACTTGTTCCAGGTATGTGCCCTTATCCACTTTCTACACACACTAGATAAATAATCAAATTGTATTTAGGTCTTACATTAACTCTGAGGTTTTTCTACCAGCAATGTCACCAGCATTAAAAAATCTTGAATTTTAGGGACGAGCTCGGACAAAATCTCCTTGCTTTTGTAGCTTGCTTTACACTTAAGCAACACTTAACACGTAAAACAGATTCAAACCGTTGCTTCTTTTTCTTATCACCGGATTATTGGAAGACTAACCGTTATCACCTTGGCCTCTATATGCCCTTTCATGCTTCAGTTCACCTCACTGACACACTGGGAACGGCAGTCAGTGACTCCTTGTGGTGTGTAGGGAGCATTATGTGTTTAAAGTGCAGCTGTGTTATCTCTGTAAAATCAGTGAAGAGCACCTATAATATATCAACACCACACACATCACACGTGCACACACAGTTACAACATTGATATAACTTAACATTATTGACAGATATTAAATGCATGTACAAAGTCTGGATTAATTTTGGGTACATTTATATTTTGAAGCATTTTCAGATACAGAAATATAAAATGAAAACAGGTTTGACAGCTGTAGGAGTATGGAGCTATTTCAGGGTCATAAGTTTTGATCATTCAAAAAAATACAATTTATTTGAAAGTTCAAGTTTTTATCCTGATCTTTGAAAAATACAATGATGTATTTGAAATAATTTTTCAGGTTGAATATTATTTTGATTCAGTTCAGCAATTTTTTTGAATAAAATATTTATTTTCAGATTTCACTTTTATACATATTTTGATATTTGAATCCTTATTTTTTTCAGTTGCAGATTTGAAACAATTGAAAACAATTATTTTTTCAGTTTCAAATCTTGTTTTTTCAGGTTTCACATTGCTTTTCACCTTCAGATCGTTTTTCACTTTCAGATCTTTTTTTTCGCTTTCAGACTTTTGGCCCTGATGTTGCTTGGGGGGCGGGGCTTAGCAAAGAGTAGTTTGGCTTCCTGAGTGGCAGGCCTCCCTCTGTCATGTTGCCTTCATGGATGTTAGGTAGCGCGAGAAACATAACTTAATACTTTATATACACAATACTCCCGTGATTGGTGGTAAACAAAACTGAAGCACAGTTTATTGCTCTTATACCTTGATTGTTGCCAACTACGATGCTCAACAGCTCGCTTAACGAACTTTGACGCTGGTATCAGTTTACCACCAATCACGGGAGTATTGTGTATAGAAAGTATTGAGTTATATTTCTCGCGCTACCTAACATCCATGAAGGCAACTCTTTGCTAAGCCCCGCCCCCTCAAGCAACATCAGGGTCAAAAGTCTGAAAGCGAAAAAAAAAGATCTGAAAGTGAAAAACGATCTGAAGGTGAAAAGCAATGTGAAACCTGAAAAAACAAGATTTGAAACTGAAAAAATAATTGTTTTGAATCTGAAAACGAAAAATCTGCAACTGAAAAAAACAAGGATTCAAATATCAAAATATGTATAAAAGTGAAATCTGAAATAAATATTTTATTCAAAAAAATTGCTGAACTGAATCAAAAATAATATTCAACCTGAAAATTATTTCAAATACTTATTTTTATTTTGAATACATCATTGTATTTTTCAAAGTTCAGGATAAAAACTTGAACTTTGAAATACATTTTAATTTTTTTGAATGATCAAAACTTATGAACCTGAAATAGCTCCATATAGGAGCAAGTATTTGATAGCAGTTTTCACTCTCACCATGTAGATGGTGCTGTTGAACTCCTCTTGCGTCACACGAGTCTCAGAATGCAACCCGTGTGTGTCTCTTGTGGTCTGCATGTAATCTGACGCGTGACGAGTCATACGAGGACATACATTTGGTAGAAAATATCTCATTTTTATAAATGTCAGTTCTGGTTCACAGATGAATGTAGAAACCAAGGCTTATTTAAAGGTCCTCTATTGTACTGTTTTTCATCAATATATTATAGTTATTCTCAGATATATACAAAACATGTCTCTGAAGTGTTTTGCTCGAAATACCAAACAGAGCATCCCATAAACCCCTCTGTTTTAACCCTGTTTCAAAAGTGCTGATTCTCTGTCTGTTACAGTTTAGATGAAAAATAAGGAGCCACTCCCCACGCCCCTCTGAGAGATATTTGCTCTAGGAGGAGATTCAGGTGATAAGGTGGGGGGGGTTTACCTTGGTTGGTTATTGGCTAATGGTTACACAAGCCAAAAAATCGTTAACTTATGACATCATAAAGTGGCCTAAATCTGATCAGCTAATTTTCTGACAGGTTTTTATATAAAAGGATCAGGACGTGAGCGAATATTTTTTCTTGAAACTTCAGACTCTCTCTACACAGACGGGACACATGTTTATGTATAAAACAAGGGAGGCTGTGGCTCAGTGGGATAATGCATCATCAGGGGATAGCAAGTTCGAGTCCCACTGCAGTCAGCATGTCCCTGGGCAAGACACTTCACCCCAAATTGCTCCTGTGGGGATTGCCCACAGTACTAAGTATGTAAGTCGCTTTGGATAAAAGCGCCTAACAAGTGACATGTAATGTAATGTAAAAGAGAAAGACACAACACATCGGAAAACCTTGAAGAAGTATCACTGCACCCGCCTGAGGAATGTCTTGATTATGGGAGACAAATGGAGGAGTCTGCACCGCCCTTCACCCCCCCAATACCTTTGAGGATACTCTTCTTTCACCCCCAGCTCTCTCTACTCTCTGTTCACCATTTCACCCTCGCCCACCCTCCTGGAGTTTCGACCACATGAAGGAGATACAGAGGGTTGGCACCAAGTCCTTCCTGGAGATCAATGACCGCATGAAGGCGATACACAGGGTTGGCAGCATGTCCTTTACCCCCGCCCCTCAACAACGCCCATCAAAATCACCGAAGCAGAGACGCGCACCATCTCTCCCGTCTTCATCACCGTGCCTACGTCAACCACCTCCCCCCCTTCAAGACAGCATCTCCGAAGTCTGATAAGAATGCTCCTCTCACAGCAGATCACAGGGAGGGGGGCTCCTGCCTTAAACGAGAAACACATTGAGGCCTCAAAAATGGTTATGTCATAGCTGAGAATAATATTTTTCAAGTCCTACAGGGGTCATGTCCTTTTTACACAAACATGGGAAGGTGTGTCTTAGGCCATGGCCAATGGAGGATGTTGGTTGGGGATAGAGGAGGTGTTTTTTGGGGTTTCGATCCAGTTTTTTGAGCATAAAGAGACTGGTTTTTTGAGAGAGCGAGAGAGAGGGGGGGAAACCCCTGGTATACTCTTTCCGGGTAGGCTCTGTCCTTCAGGGCTGGGTAAATGGCTCTCGGTAAGGTTATCCTGGAAGGCGTTATTAGTACGTACAGGAATCTTAGAACTAATAGCTTTATTTAGATCTATCCTGGAAGGCGTTATTAGTACGTACAGGAATCTTAGAACTAATAGCTTTATTTAGATCTATCCTGGAAGGCGTTATTAGTACGTACAGGAATCTTAGAACTAATAGCTTTATTTAGATCTATCCTGGAAGGCGTTAATAGGACGTACGGGAATCTTAGACCTAATAAGCTTTATTTAGATCTATCCTGGAAGGCGTTATTAGGACGTACGGGAATGTTAGACTAATGGTTTTATTTAGATCTTGGATAGGTGAGAAATATGAATTAAGGTTTTAGATACAAATATAACCCCAGCATGATATGTTGCATATGATTATAATGTGTTAAAAGGTAAAAACCCTGTATTAGTTTGGACCTATTTTTCTTCAAATAAACTGATCCCACCTTTTTGACTGGGACAACTAAAAGACACCTGTGCTCTCCTCTCCTGCTTAAAAGGTAAGACTGCACCCTGCCACTCACACTTAGGTAGGAGCACACTCCATTTACTGATATCAAAATCCTTCGGGATCCCTTAAACAGATTAAAAAAGAGTTGTCTGAATTGAAACAGCAGTTAATTGAACCTGGTTCTTCGGGGGGTTAATAGAGGTGAGAGCTTGCTGACGTTGGTGGATCTGAGCCAAGCAGTAAACTTACATAGACTCAATAACTTCGGTCAGGTCAATTAGTAGGTCAGAGTAATTTACCGGAATAAATTATCAGGACCTCGCCGACTCTAAACAGGCTAAAGAACTGTTTTGTGTTCTTGATAGCTATGGACTGACTCAGCATGTGACGGAGCCCACACACAATAAGGGGCACACTCTGGACTGAATTATCTCAAAGGGTCTGAATATCTCTAAGGTTGTGGTGAATGATGTTGCACTCTCTGATCATTCATGTGTTTTCTTTGAGAGCTCTATTTCTGTTCACAATTTTTTCAAAAAGAGGGAATCACAAAGCGATATTTAACTGAAAATACTAGGGAAATGTTTACTCAGAATCTTTCTTCCACACTTGCCCCTGCAAACATCTCAGTAAATTAGCTAGTAGATCATTTTAATTCAAAAATTAAAAATGTTATAGATGCCATTGCTCCAACTAAGGTAAAGGAAGTGTCTGGCAAGAAAATATCTCCATGGAGAAAGGCCATGAGCGTGAAAACAGAAAAAAGAGAATGTCGAAAAGCTGAACGCAGGTGGCGAAAAACAAATCTCCAGGTTCACTTTGAAATCTATAAAGAGAGACTGGGCCTTTATAATTTGGAATTGAAAAACGCACGACAATCGTTCTTCTCTGACATCATTACCAAAAACAAAAACAACGCACGTGCCTTGTTTGCTACCGTTGACAGACTAACAAACCCCCCAGTGTCAGTAGCCTCTGAATTTCTATCCACCAGGGCCGGCAATGAATTTGCCTCCTTCTTCACTGACAGCATTTAGAAAATTAGACAAGCAGTCAGTGCCTCTGTATCAGATAGGCTACAGCAAATGTTTTGTCTCTGTGTCCACTTAAAATTAATTCAAACACCATGACACAATTCCATCAGATTAATGATAAAAACCTAGAGGACATTATTAAACTTCTGAAATCCTCCTCCTGCTGCCTTGATATTATTCCAACAGGATTTAAAAAAAATGTTTTTCATTGCATGGCCTCAGATCTACTTCATATAGTAAACAAATCTCTTCACTCAGGTATTTTTGCACAGGCCCTGAAAACTGCAGTCATTAAACCGCTCTTAAAAAATAATAATCTAGATGCTTCAGTAATGAACAATTACAGGCCCATATCAAACCTCCCATTTCTAGGTAAAATCATTGAAAAAGTAGTTTTTCAACAGTTGAGTAATTTCTTGCATTTAAATAACTGTTTCGATGTGTTCCAGTCAGGCTTTCGTCCAAACCACAGCACTGAGACTGCTCTTGTAAAGGTCTTTAATGACATCCACTTAAACACAGACAGTGGCAGAACTTCAGTGTTAGTATTATTAGATCTCAGTGCTGCGTTTGACACTGTTGACCACAACATATTACTAGACGACTGGAAAACTGGGTGGGACTTTCGGCAACAGTTCTAAATTGGTTTGAATCCTACTTAAAGGACAGAAAAAACGTTGTTTCTATACTGTAGGTATATA